AGATTCTAGAGTGGAGAATGCCTTCTTGAAGAATAAGGTTACTGAGGTAGAGACTTGAGCTGACGAGCTTCAAGAGAAACTTGCTAAGGCTAAGAGGGAAGATGCTGAGTAACTAAAGAGTGTTGTCTATGATATATGGGTCATATTCAGTTTGGGAGGATATTCTATGGCTTGAGAGTGACTTCCTAATTCTTGATATTATGAAGAAGTTCCTTGGTAGTGATGGTTTAAGTCTTTTAACACATGTGCCCCCCGTTTTGAGTAAAGGGGGAGGGTCCCCACGAGTTGAGGGGTTTGATGCTCAGAGGTGATAAATCCTTAAGAAAAACTAAGTAGCCTACTGAGCAATTGTAGAAGTTGTTGGTCGTCTGTTGAAGGCTGAGTAATTTAAAGCGCACCCTTAGAGCTTTCAAGGGAGCAAAGTAGCTTAAAGGGTAACCATGTAGATTGCATGGAGGCCAAAGTAGCCTTGAAGGACAATCGTGGAGGTTGGCTTGAAGTGTAACTACGGAGGTTGACTTAAAGTGCAACTATGTAGGTTGGCTTGAGGTGCAACCACAAAGATTGACTTGAGGTGCAACCACAGAGATTGACTTGAGGTACAAACACAGATGTTGACTTAAAGTGCAACCACAGAGGTTGACTTAAGGTGTAACCACAGAGGTTGCAATAATCACAAATAGAGAAACATGAGTTCTGAAAAATAAACTTCCTTTTACTAATCAACGAAAATGAGAAACAAATGTCTTTGAAGACTTATTGAAATAATAAGATGATGTTTACTAAGTTAAAAATAAAACTTAATTATTTGGTTGGTCATCTGATTAGAATTGTTGTTTTTCTTCTTGCTACTTGATAGTCTTTTCCTTATCAATATACCGAGAGAAGTGGCCTTGCTTGACCATCTCTTCTAGGTGGTGCTTGAGTACCAAACAATTCTTCATCTGGTGACCTTTGTCCTTGTGATAAGAATAATGGAGGGTTTGATCTCGCTTTGATAGATCTCCTATCACCTTTGGTGGCCATCTAAAATATTTTTTGTCTTTGATTTGGTGAAGGACTTGATAGATAGGTTCATTGAAGACAGTGTTTGTGCCTTGGTAGGAGTCCCTCATTCCCTTGGGTGACCTATCTCTTTGATGGGTTGAGAGTGTTGTCTTCCTTCATCTGGTTCTTCTTTGGCTGCTGGTCAACTAGTCTGTTGTCTTCCTTTATCTTCACGTACCTCTTGATATGCTCTTACAAATATGACATACTCTGGGGCGGCCACATGGTGAGGTGTTTCCTCAATTCGTTTTTCTTGGGGAGGCCCAAACAATAAGAGATAGTGGTGATCTTTTCATCGCGTTCTTCTATGTCAATATAAGTTTTCAAGTACCTTTTGGCATAATTACAGAGAGTCTCTCCATGTTTTTGGAGTAGTGCCAAGAGTGTGTCAATAGTCATTACCTCCCGATTATTGACTATGAATTGAGAGACGAACTCGCTGATGAGCTATTCCCAAGAGAAGATTGAGTTCATAAGTATCCCATGAAACCACTTAAAAGTCGACCTCCCCAAGTTGAAGGGGAACATCTTACACATCAATGTCTCATTGCTCGTCCAGATGATCATATTATTAGTAAAGATCCCTATGTGGAGCACAGAATCAGACTTACATCATACAACTTAAAGGACATAGGAGTAAACTTACATGGAGGCTCGACTTCTCGTTTGGATCGAACAAAAGAAGTTGTGGTCATCTTAAACAAGGTCTGTTTTTCCCTTTCTTTGACTGAAAATACGAGATCATCTTGGCCAATGTCACGATGAAGATGGTCATGACCTTTGCAGGCTGGCTCAAAGCGGCTACACTTCTATCTTTCGTAATCGTCTTATTACTCGTGATGGGTTGAACTTCCAAGTATTTCTTTATGTTTCTTAGGGTTGTATTCCTTATATGAATTGCCTCACTTCTCCTCGTAACAAGGGGTACCTTCTGGCTGAAGGGTCCCTAGGAAAACATTGAGAAGTAGAGCGTCTTGTTGAGTACTTTATTTGACGGTGACTATGGGTCGAATAGTTTCTTACCGGAGACCTGCTCTTATGATGGGTAGATTGAGCCTTATGTGAGTAATCGTTGTGGTGATCACTTTGATGAGGCGGGCGTATGACCTGACTAGCAAGTTTGGTGCCCTTTTGGAGAAGGAGCCTTTGTTGGAGGGCTTCTAGCTCCTTTGCCTTCTTCCTTATTGCCTCATGGTAATCCATCTCAATAACTAACCCACCTTTTGCATCGAGGGCAAGTAGGTTGTGGTGAGAAGGAGGTTTTTCTCTAGAGTGGTTATGTCTATCATGGAGTAGTACGTCCTTTGATAATTGTAGGTCATAATTAGTGAGATCTTCGAGGATCAGGGGGTAGTGGAAGTTTCATGTAGCTGGTCCCCATATCGAAAGCTCTCTTGCCGAACATGGTTCAAGGTTTCTTGGTTGATAGAAAACTTAGTCGTTTCCCACACACAACATTAATTATGTGGGGATAATTTTGCACTATGAGTCTCCACTTCATATGAACGGAGAGGACGATGATGAAGCCTTGAGTAAACTACAAAACAAGAGAATACCTAAGTGAACCGATAGCCAAAGGCGGCCAAAAGGACTCCAATGCTTAAGTTAGATCATGAGTCAAAGAGAAGTATAGATTGAATAGACTAGGATTCAATGTCATACCTTATACCCGAAGCTTTTATTTATAGTGGTAGAGAGATGTGTCCCACTAGAACCCAAACTCTAAGGTAATTGGCTCGACCTTATCACTAGGTCCTAGAAATACAAGGTTGAGTTAGACTAAGAATCTTTGTCATCGGTCTTTATCACTAGCCACTGGTTGGTCTGAGTAGCATTTCCCTTGGACTTTATCTCTTTGGTACGTTGTCCCAGCTCCTAGATATTTGGAGTGGTATTTGATTAAGACTCGAGGTCCTTGGTTGATCTCTTACTGAGTAAGGTTCATCTTTAATTGTAATGGGTGCCAAGCGAAGACGAAGGAGGACGAGCCCAAGTCCCTTGGACTTGTCGAGTGGTGAAGGCTGACTTCTTGCCGAGTGGTGCCAAGAAGTTTTCTTCTTGCTCCTTGCTGAGTGGCATGAAAGAGGATCCCTTTTGCTCCTTGCCTAGTGGCATGAAAGAGGTCCCTTTTGCTCCTTACACCTTGCATTTTATGCCTCACTATTTGGATTCAACTTTATTCATTTGGCTTATATGTGGTAGTTTATCACCAATAGACCTTTGGTCCAATGATACTCCTTGTATTATAAAGGTTTTGACTTCTTAAAGTCAAGTATTCAAGTTCCTCTTCCCCTCCAAATATATATATGGTAGTCTATTTTTTTTTTTTGATATCCCAATTGTTTTAGTATATCACCGCAGTACTACCCTACTGATGTATCAGACTAATGTTGAGTCTTGTGCAAAGCTTTCTCTTCACATAAGGAGATAAATCTATGGGCGATAAGCTGCAGATTCAAATTGGGGAGTAGAGTAGGTCAAGATTTTAAGCCCTCGGCGTTTGAGAGGCCTAAGTTGTCTCAAAGCAAGAACCTACCTGAGGGGGAAGGGGGGGGGGGGGATACCAGGTNAGGAGATGGTGATGGGTGTGGTGGGCAGCAATGACGGTGATGGTGGTGGCGGCGGGTGGGGGGGGGGGGGGGGGGGGGGGGATAACGTACCATGCGTGTGCTATACAGTGTGGGTCCCTAGCCGTTTCTCCCTTAATCTTGGAATAGAGAAGCGACGAATCATTTGATTTTATTGTTTTTCTTTTCAATTTTTGTTTTCTTGTCAAACGATTCTTTGCATAATTTAGATGATTCTTCACAAAATTTTAATTGTCAATATCAAATTAGTCTTTTTTCCTACCTGTCTTTCCTAAGTTTTATAATTTCGAATATACAAACATACCGAAAATGGAGAATCCACACATAAATTTTTCGAGATTTTTTATGCATCCCAAGAAACTACACTTTATATGATATTCGAACTCGTAACTTATATGGCTGCCAATCCTATTTTATAAATCTGTTCAAACATTCAAAAAGTAACATTACAATCTAATGATCAAAATTTACTTGATTGCGTTTATATTTAATGTAGGTAAGGCCATTAAATGGTAGCTCGTGATTCCTTTTCACACTCATGGTCAAATTGTGTGTGGGTCGAGGTGGGGGGACAAAGGGATAAGTCCATTGGGGGTTTTGGACGCTTTAGAGCATCTTCATTCTTATTCATACATTTATTTTAATTTTAATAGAATAAAAATAACTTTTAGTTAAACTCCAAAGATAAAAAGATATTCAAATATTTATTTAAATCAAGTAAAACTTATATCTTCAATGTTCAAATTTACTGTCTTTTAAAAATCAAAATAATCACAATTAGCTTAGTTTGACTTGAAAGAAAAAAGAAAAAAGAAAAAAGCTAGAGTACCCAACTCTATGCTAAACAGAAGAACATCCAAATTAAATGATATTTATAGTGGTCCTATTCGAGACCTCCTGAATTTGAATGTTGATAATTTATTTATTTTTATGAATATCTTAATTTGAATGAGATGTCTTTGATTGAATTAAAAAAAAAAAAATAATTAATGTGCGTATAAACTAGTTCCAATCTTTTTAACCGTTGAACTAATAAAAAGATTAAATTAAAAAACTTATAAAATAAAAGTTTATACAAATAAAAAAAATAATAATAATAATAATTACACCACACGATGAAAGTCGGTTTCTCCATTGCGGAGATAGAAAGAGAACCGCAAGACAGAAGAGAGAGAAAAATCGAAGGCTAGAAAACAGAGTGAGAATTCAACCAGAGGAAGAAGAGATGGAGAGACAACAAGATTAACAATATCAAGGAGGTGGTAGCCAACAAATTCCATTGATAATATCATCTTTACCCTCACCTACCATCTCCGGCGATCTCCCAAATAATCCCTCGGAAAAAATCCTTTTTTACAGAAGGTCATGAGGCGAGGAAAAGCAGCAACGGCGGCGGCGAGGGCGGAAGCGATCGGATCAGGATCTGTGAAAAACCCAGAAAAGGAGCCGCGATATAGAGGCGTTCGACGCCGGCCATGGGGTCGATTCGCCGCCGAGATCAGAGACCCGTGGAAGAAGGCCCGAGTCTGGCTAGGCACCTTCGATTCCGCCGAGGATGCTGCACGCGCCTACGACGACGCCGCACGGTCCCTCCGCGGCCCAAAGGCGAAAACTAATTTCCCCCAATTTCCTCTCTCTGTTCAGGATTTTCAGAACGGTGAGAATAATCAACACAAAGATCATCATGATTTTCAGATGTTTGAACAGTATCGTCATTCAGGAATTACGTCGAGCAGTTTGAGTTCGACTCTGGAATCGTCTAGTGGTCCCAGACCCTCGAACCGACCACCGTCCCGGGTAAGAATCCACCAACGGTTAAAGCCACCGGTTCCGCCGGATGATTGCCACAGCGATTGTGACTCATCATCTTCCGTGATTGACGATTGGACCGCGTATCAAACCTCATCGTCGTTTCACAAACCTTTATTACCCTTTGATCTGAACCAGCCTCCGCCACTGGATGACATTAACATTGCTGAAGCTGATGATTTCCACGCCACTGCTTTATGCCTATGATTCTTGGTAGTAACAATGGTGATGGTGATGATGATGATGAAGATGGAAGATTTGCGATTTCTTCTGTGAGTTGTTTTTATTTTCCGTTATTTAATCGGGAAAATTAAGGAAATTACTCAGATGGGAAACTCTGCTATGTTCCTTTTTTTTTTTTTTTTTTTTGTTTCATTCAATGTAGATTAATTAATGTATGAGTCCCATTATGCGATCTGGGTTTGAAACTATAGTTCTGTTCTGGTTGAACTTTAGATCGTGTTGCCCAGGATTGTACAGATATGCCTACTCTCTCTCTCAAAATCTGATCTTCTTACCCATTTTTTTCCTTCTGTTTTTACTGCCTTTTGGGTATACAGAAAATTATGAAAGATTAGATACATTTGATTCATCTTTAATTAGATAAAAAAAAAATGAGGTTATCGGTTGACCTAATTTTGACTGCGACTGGCGATGATCCGTTAGAACTTAAGGTCCCCGGTTCAAATGCAAAAAAAAAAAAAAAGATAAAAACGGATGGATTGAATTTTCCATTGTCATCACGAGAATGCAGTGTGATGAAATTTTCGTTGGTACAAATGGATATTCTTCTCTAATTTTGCAATTGGCAATGTATGTATGTTTATAAACGAGTTAATTACACTTGGACATCAAGAGACATTGAGATTTTATATCAATAATAAAAGAATTTACTAATGTAATAAATTAATTGAAAATAAATTTTAATTTGTATTGGGGTCCACTGTAAACTTAGTGGGTGAGAGCCATCTATGGCACTTGTGATTGTGGATTACTAGTGATTTGGGTAAAACTATATACTGTTGACCAAATTTTAGAATTAAATTAGGAGTTCAAATGATATAACAGTATATTATTTAGAATTTTTATTAGAACTCAAATGATGTGACATTAAATAAAGAAGTATAAGTCAACTGTCATGTCATTGGGTCCTTAATTTGATCTCAAAATTTAGTCATTGGGTAACATTGTGCTACTTGTCTTTATGTTATGACATAAAATATTCCTTATTTATTTGTGTGGGAATGGGGAAACTATTGTATAACAATTTAGTCTACTTCTGCAAAGAAACCATGTGTCCATTTTAAAAATCCTTAAACAATTTGCTATGTTGTTTTGTGTATGTTTTAGCTTACCCTGATAGCCTTACTTCAACAAACCCTTAGACCTACATTATGTTACTTCAAATTTAAACCATGTCACATTATAGTCATCAAGCTCATCATTATATGTTTTACTCAAATTTTAACTCTCATGGAAAATTTTTACTTTGTTGCATTAATTTTTTTACATATAAATTACATGACAGAAAGATAGGACTTGACAAAATATGTTATTTTAACAAATTACTTTGCTAATAAAATTATGACATGACTTGTTCAATGATAGAGTTAGATGAATTTCGAGCAACCAAATTTTGAATTCAATTTGAAAACTCCAATTTTAGATCTAATATGACTGTCCAATAAATTTCGCTTTCACAATCTATATCGGAATATGTTCGATAAAAAATCTGATATGATTTGTGACTTTAATATACTTGAATTTTAATAAATTGCTTCTTAATTTTAATTCAATATCATTAATACCAACTCAAGTTCATTATATATATTTATCTATAAACTAAAACGAATCATTAAATTTAGTATATTCAAATCTAAAAATTTTAAACTCGAATAATCGATCAAAATACCAACTCATATATGAGAGGATTGGGTTGGTGATTTTATGTGTCATTGAAGAGGGAAAATAGTGTACTAGAGTTGTAAGGGAACTTTCATTTTAGGAAAAATCTTATTCACGCCTCCTGTAGTTTACTATATCTTCAAAGACACTTTTTTAAGATTTTGAGACTTTACTGCCACCCCTTATCAGTTGTTACGGGCTAATAGCGTTAACAGAGGTAATAAATTTACTAAAATGCCCATGAAATATTTTATATCTATAATATGTATCTATATATATTTTTCTCATATATTACATTATACATAAATAACTAATCTGTGTTTAACCTTGGGTTGATATACTAACCAGACGTATAAAAATCAAGCAACCAGTGTGAGTTCAGCCGCTGGATTGTTTTGTCTTCTAGTTCACAGAGAGATAGAGAGAGAGAGGGAGGGACTCAGGGAGAGGAGATCCAATCGCTCGATTGCTTTCAAGAGGTTTTTTTTATTGTTTTTCATGCTCTCACCATCTGCTTTATAAATGGTTGTAGACCATTCATTGGTCTTGATGGGCGCCACCTAAAAGGGTCAAATGGTCGTGTTTTATAGGCTGTTGTTGCATTGGATGGTAATACTGGGCTTTTTCCTATTGCATATGGTGTGGTAGAGTGAGAGAACAGATAGTTGAACTTTTTTTCTTGGCCACTTGGTAGAAATCATTGGACATGAGACACATCCACTCTGTTTTGCGTCTGATCAGCAGAAGGTATGTAGTTGTTTAACTCTACACTTGTTAATTTCAAAGTAGTATTATTGTGACTGTTAAGATGGTTTTTTTCCTGTGTTAATGTGATTGTTAAAATGCTGAAATTAGTGTAACAACCTTTTTTTTTTAAAGATGTTATAACTATGGTTGTGAGCAAACTGTTACTGAAATACTGTGACAGTGCTTCTGTAACTGGGATATTGTAACTGTGATTATGATCTTCTGTTTATATGTGATACAAGGACTGGATAACGTCATAATGCAAATATTCCCATAGGCAAAGCACCGTAGATGTTGTGTGCATTTGCTTGCGAATTTTAAGAATAAATTTCCCAGTGTATTACTTAGAAGACCATTTTGGAAGGCTGCTAAAGCCTATAACCAAGAAGATTTTAATGAAGCAATGTTGCAACTCAAGTCTAAGTCTGCAGTAGCATATTAGTGGTTGCTTAAGCTGCCTATAAGTTCATGGGCAAGGTATGTCTTTGATTGTCGGATTAAGAGTGACCATGTGACTAATAACATGACCGAATCAGTCAATAATTGGGTAGGATCACTAAAGTTGAAATCAATACTTACACTTTTAGACGGGATAAGAACTAAGTTTATGATTAGGATTCAACAGAGACATGATAGGGGCAACACTTGGGAAGGGTTGGTCACAGAGAACAAAAGGAAAAAACTTAACAAAATCATTGGAGGATCAAGGAAATGTTTTGTCATCATGCTGGTGGGTTTAACTATGAGATTATGGATACTGGAGTAAGATATGTAGTAAGACTTGATCAAAGAACATGTGATTGCATGGCTTGGAGTATATCATGCATTCTATGTAGGCATACAACACAGACAATTGCTCACAAGAGGATGAATATTGAAAATATTGACATGGCTTCTTCGAGATAGATGCTTTTCTTAAGGCTCATGAACTAATGATTCACCCACTTCAAGTGTCACACTCCAAATTTCACAAAAGCGTGATTAAAAAAAATTATTTTGTTTATTCCAAAAACACGTGCCGGTTTGTTGTAAAAACATCTAGAAAAATATCTCTTTAGTTTAAATAAATCATTTTTTTAGAAAATTTCGACAGAGTTTCTTTTAAAAATTAGGCATCCAAATAATTGATGAAAGCTACCTATGAGAGCATTAAATATAATAATTATATCTAACTAGTCATTCACATCATATCAATTATATACATCCCTTTTCATGATATCTACAAATAAGTCATTACTGTTCAATACTAGGGTGGCAAATTGGGGCTCATGAAATCCTCCCAAACCCGGGTTATAATCTAATTATTCAAATTTCTTCATCATGAACATAATATACAGAATATCTAAAATCTTTATAAGTAAATCATTTAAAAGGTCTCAATCTATACATATTCCCTCAAATTAACCAAGATATAAATCACTTACAAATCCTCAATAATATACATCATCGTATATTGTTCTTTACATACTCTAACTAAATATATAAAAATCATAACAACTATCTTCTGCCTCTATACTTCCACTATGCGGTCCACCAACATATGCTCATAACTGAAAATGTTAAATGATAGGGGTGAGCAACCACACACTCAGTAGGATAATTATTTTCTCATGCATTTACAAAGTTTTAAATACAAACATTTCACAAATCATACGAATAAGTAATAAAAATTTTCTATAATTTTTCTATAATTTAGTATAGGAATAAGATAATAAGTAGAACATTTATAAAAATCTCCCAACACATCATTATTAGAAATATACAATGTATAAATTAAAGGTTTATACATTTTAAGCCAAACCATCATAGCAAATATCATGAATACATACGAACAATATAATCAATCATACTGGTTCACGCATGAACCATCCCTGGATAACCTTTTGGGTCTTGCACCCTAGGGTCTCATCATCGCCCTTCTTGCTTTTCAAGGGGAACGTGTAGGGTACAACTTGTGAAACCACACAAGTCATCACCGAAAATCACTACTATAACCAATCCCCTTTAGGACTAGTAGTCGTCTTGGCAATCCACTCAATAGGCTCTAACCGTCTACTAACCATCTGTCTGTTAGTATTGAGCATACATTTTTCAAAAATTATTATTTTTTATATCCATAAATCCTTTTGAAAACACATGTCATAACCTTGACATTTTATCAAACATGTAGTAGGTTCAAATCTCAAAATTTGTATTTTCAAAGCAACATAACCATTTTCAAGAGAATAAGTTATATATATTATGTTCAAAATTATAGCATACTTCAAAACCCCCAAATTATAAGTTTAATTAAATACTCATAACTAATATCAAACTAGGGTTTCAAACCCATAACACAAAAATCATTTCTATTTCCAAGAGAATAAATCATATATATTATGAACAAAATCATAATATACTTCAAAACCCCTAAATCATAGGTTTAATCAAATACCCATAACTAAAATCAAACTAGGGTTTCAAACCAACAACACTAAAATCATTTTTATATATGTGGGTTCACAATTCATGACATACTCAATACTAAATCAAGGTTTATGACAAGTATTTTGTCA